GTACCTCCATGAGCATGTTTATGATTTTTATTTCGAAATCTTTTTAGGTTGAATGGTGAGGTCAGTTTTACTTGGCTGTCTTTCTGGTGTTTGTGAGATTTGGGTTTGTACCAGGTTCTTTTGACGTTTCCTATTTGTAATAATAACTTATTGTAGGCAGCACCTTCTTGTTTCCAGAATCTCTAGTCTCTGGAGCTGCTCAGCCCCTGGAGTGATGGTGGAGGTCACAGGTAAGAGGTGCTGTTGCCTGCCAGGAGGGAAGAGCTCTTTCCTGCTTTCTGGCTGCAGTGCCTGCCTCCACTGCCAGGGCCAGTGGGCTGAGTGCACAGGGAGGTGTCTCTATGGTATACCCTTGTATCTGCTGTAGGCTGGGCCTCTTTCTGGCTGAGCTGGCATAATGGTGGGGACAGCAGCTTTGCAAGCTGGTGCCAATTTGGAGGAAGGAGTGGCAGGCTGCGTTTCACCTTGGGGGTCTCAGAGCTGTGTTGTCAGCCTGGGGGATGGAGTACCTGAAGCACCTGAAAGTTCCCAACCTGCTGGGCTAAGTATGCCAGGACGATTTTGTCCACCTGTCCTTTCTCCTGAGCAGCAAGGTCTGTGGAATCCTTACCCCTTTAGCAGCCCTTTCACTGTTGGGAAGTGTCTCAGAGTTCCCACCTTTCTTTTGTCCTAGAATGGCTGGTTATGGATACCTGTTCTCCACAAGCAGCTTGAATCTCAGTCTCTCTAACTATTCTGCCTTTCTGAGCTTTCTAATACCACTAATCTCCAGAGCACCATGTAATGTAGATTCGTGCTCCCAGAGCAGATCTCCAGGGTGAGGTGTTCAGCAGTCCTAGGCCTCCATGTCCTTCCTCGCTCAGTGTCTCTTCTTTCCACTGGTGAGCTGGGGTTGTGTTGCTCTTCAGCAACAAGAAGGTGGGGGGGACAAGCAGGACCAGCCTGTTATCCCCGGGGCTGAGCGAGAGGGCAAGTGTCGCGGCTTGGACACTCTCCCCTGAGATCCAGAGAAAAACAAAACCACACCAAGCCAGGAGATGTGTCAGCCTCAAGGGCGCAGCAAAACTCAGCTTTATTGCATCTGAGGCTTAGTTATATAGGGGAAGATAAGGAAGTAACAGAAACCAATGGGAATTGATTATCTCATCTGTCACTAGGGTCTTTAGGCAGGTTTTGGGTTAGGTGGGGAGGCGGAGTTAGGGCCAAGAGCACGTGTGCACGGGAAGCTAGTTAGGCCACGAACGCAAAAGTAACAAGGGAGGATGGAAACCTCCAGTCTGCGGCCGTCACAGGCCTAAAAGAGGCAAAAGGTCCCAACAGGGTTGGGGAAGGGGTGTGTCCCACTGGATTGTGGCTTTGGTACTTTATCCTTTTCCATGAGGTCTGCTCTTTCTCCAGACGTAGGCAATCTGTTGCAGCATTCTTCCTGTTGCTCTTTCAGGATTAGTTGTATTTGCTATATTTTCATATTAAATGTGGTTTTGGAAGGTGGTTTCTGTCTCAGCTCTCATGCTGCCATCTTTAAGGCTATCCCTAGTTGCTTCTACCCATGCCACTTGAATCTGACCTCATCCTAGCTCAGTACTTTTTAAAGAGTATTTGATAGAACAATAAATGGTATTTTTAAAGTAAAAAAAATTTTGTTGCTTAAATAAACTTGGGAAATGCTTGAGTTAAAAGTTAAACCTATTTTTTTCAAGCTCAGGACTTATCAGATCTTTAAATATGTTAATGTGCTTTTTGAGTTTGTAAGACAACTATATAGTATTCACTGTTTTCTATTTTATGGCGATCCAAGATCCACTGAAAACAATATGGAAAGTATTGCTCTAGGTAATAATTTACATGTGTTCTCTTAGAGAAGCCACTTTACTGCTAAACTGTAGTTTTGTAATGTGCAAATTGACAATGAGAGTGCTTGGGATTATACGAGGACCATGGGAGATCTTGGAAGTATAAAGTATGGGGTAATGCTAGTTGTTATTAGTCTACAAAATTTATGTCTCAAAAATAGAATAAGTTAGAATTATTATTCAATGCAATAAAATTTTAATGGTATTTCACCTCTGTTTTATACATTACAAGAAAATAAAAGGTGAGAATGAAGTTTAGAGTACACCAATGGAAGTTTGAGCTATAAGCCACAGTGTTCTACCTCTTCCATAATGTAAAAAACATCTCAGTATCAAGAAAATTAATTTCTTACTGTTTCTGATTAAGTCAATAAGAAAAAGGAGCTAAGAATCAAGCATCACAACTAATGGACAATAAAACTTATAGTTACTAAATCAAGACTTTTAAGATACAGTTAATGGAATAAACAAGTCTTTGCATATAGAGGTAGACTTGTGAAGCCTTTGGATGCATTGTTTTCCAAGAATTTATGTAACTTTTTCCTGGGCTGCACTCATTTGTCGAGGCCTTTTTATATTATGCTAGAGTAATACTTACATTTTATTTGTCTTTGTTTGTTACTTTCATTGGCACCATGGTGCTGTGTGCAAAAGCAAATAATCCAGCTTTTGGAATCAGTTAAGTCTTATTGGTCTGTTTTCTGCATTTGGGGATAGTTTAATTAAATAAGATGATTAGGAAATGAATGCTGTCCAGAGCTACATCATCCAGTATGCTAGCCACTGGCCATATGCATCTATTTAAATTTGAATGGAAATTAATTAAGATAAAAAATTCAAGTACTCAGTCTCACTGGTCCCATTTTAAGTGCTTAGTGGTCACATGCGGCTAGTTGCTACCATCTTGGACAACACAGATGTAGATCATTCCCATCATTGTGGAAAGTTCTATTGGACAGTGCTGTTGTAGAGAATAGGAATGTTTAAATGTTGAGCTATAACTCTGTGTGGGGAGATTTGTGAGTTGTTTACATCAAAAAGAGGTGGAATAGAGGGTAAGTTCTGGAATAAGCTGAATATGCAAGATGTACAAATGTATTCTAGATTGTTGTTAAGAATGAGTAGAATAGTCATTTCTAACACTTCAATGTCAAATATATGGATGGCATGGTATGGGTGTTATTCTTTTATAAAAAGTCAACTTTCAGAAATACATATCATTGTCCCCTGCCCTGGACCCTGAGTTTTGTGTTGCTATTAGTGTGTTTGAGAAGCCACTTGAGGAAGAAAAACTGCTATGAAATCAGTGACACTTTGAAATCAGTATGTAAATTCATTTAAAAGTGATGTTTTGTGTTTGTGTGATATACATTGTTTAGTTAGCCCCAGCCAACAGTTGCTGTTCATGTGGATTCTTGGACCTTTTTTTTAATACTCATAAGCTCTGCTGCCCAAACAAAGGTGTGCGCCTCATGTCTGGGAACCACTGGTATACCCAGCTGCTGCAGAGGGGGTTAAAGGGAGTTGGCTTATCAGGAGCCCCTAGATGGGGGCTCTAGGCAAAGGCATTCAGCCATTCTATGTCCTCTGGTTGGAAAATTTATTCAATTTATGCTTAAAATAATTTGATAAATAAAGGCTTCTTCCTGTTGCTATCTGTTCATTGATCTCTGACTTATTTTTTTAATTCCTTTGTTCCTTCCTTCCTCTCATGCTCTAAACAATAAGTCCTACTTACTTTTGTTGATTAAATAACTAATTAGTTATGTCCAGACCCCTTCTGCAAAGTGTGTAATAGCACAACTGTTGAGGTCAATCGGCTGCTTGTGCCCGGAAGTCCTGGAAGAGGCTACTCACTCTGTGTCCTCTTTGGCTTCCATAGCTCCTGTGACTGAGTCACCAGACACTGTGTCCCCTGCTGACTCAGCAGTCCCTCCAGGAGACCTAACACCAGCCTCTTTATCTGAGCCTTCCCCACCACCTCCCTGCATTCTCTCACCTAACCTAATGACCTCCTTAGCGGGCTTTTCCTCACCTGCACCTGTGTGTCACACCAGAACCTTTTCCTTCCTTGGATTCTAAATACTGTGTGGATTGTTCCCAAACCCAAACCCTTGCCTTTCCCCCTCCCCCACCATATGACACTCAGACAGTGGATCCTGTTCTCCACCCAGAGGCTACCTTGTCTGTGAATACCTTCTTCCCACTTTCCCAAGACATCGACCCCTTACCAGATTTGTCCCAGACAATGAATACCATGGATTCATTCCTTGTCCTCATGTGCTATCAAGCATGTCTGTTGCACCACCACCAGACTGCAATTTGACTGTGACTCCATCTAAATCGATTTCCATCCCATCAATGCCTATTCCAGAGAACTCATCTCCAGGTAGCCCTGGTGGGTTCACGTTTGACCCAAGAATCAGAGGCTTTCACCATTCAAGCTTGTCAACTTCAGACTGTTCTTGGGGGCAAGCTCATCCCAAAGACTTGTCTTGATATGATTTCAATCAAGAGTTTCTTGCCCTCCACTCTTCAGAGAACTCTTTCAGGGGAGACCCTGCAGCCATCCCTAGAGTCTGGTACCCTTTCATTTCTCAGCCATGATCGCCTGGCACTTCTGGAGAGGCAAGTCCGAAAGAGGAGTGATTTCCTGTGATGGAAGGAAAAGGAAAAGAAAGGGGGTTCTTTTCCAAAACAACTTAGGCCAGAGTACCAACTAAATTCCCCTGGAAAAATATTACAGTTACTGATAAGCATGACTCAGCAGTCTCCCTTCCTTTTTGGAACAGCAAAGGCAAACCAAAGGAGCTGCATGTGCACAAGCAGCTCCCATATCCTAAGACCTTGGGGAGCCAATTACAGCAAGAAGGTATCCAGCTCTTTTGAGGCCCCCCATCTCTACACAGTGAGTCCTTGTCCTCTGCTGCCCATGGCTTGGGTGACTATTCCATAGTCTTTATATTCAATGTAATATTAAATACTTCTGCAGGCCAAGAATCCCCAGTGCTTCCTCATCTCATACCTCTGTCCTTGCCTGAGAAGCACCCTTAGCCCCAGCTTCAAGCATTGCCACAAACTCAGCCCCTAGCTCTCTCTCATGGCCAGTCCCAGGCCCATCTTCCATCTCCACCCTGAATCCCACCATCTGGTCCTCTATCCCAGACTAGGATCTGTGGAGTGTGTTTCCGTGGACCCCAGAATGATTTAGGCTCTCTTAGCTCATCTAAAATTCAAAAGCTGGAATGAAATGTGTTGCAGAAGCAACAAGAATATTTGTGGGGTTTACCTGCTGTGGTCCAAAGATCTCAGGTGAAATTTTGTCCTCTGGGCTCCTTTCCCAACTGCAAGGCCTCCCAGACCCATGCTTCAGTCTCTATCCTTCCTTGAGCATTTCCTCTTAGTGATGAGATTTGGAACAAACTAGAACAGCACCTTCAAAAGAGGCTCATTCAACACCAGTGGGGCCTGCCCCATAGGGTTCTAGAATCTCTCTCACTGATGATGCCACCGAGTGATTCTTCAGAGATATCTGGGTCAAAGAGAAATCATGAACTCTCACGGAGATTTGAGCTTAATGATAAGAGTAGCAAGAATCTTAATGTTGGATTAAGCCAACCTGGTAGCTTCCAAAAGTGGGCCTCAGAAATACTTCAGCTAGAGAAGGATGTGGGGAAGGGCAGGGACAGAGCCCAGAGAGTGGTTGAAAAGATCTTCTGTTGTGTGATTCAGAGGGCTCTTCATATGAGGACCTGGGATATGACTCTGAGAAAAAACTAGACAGTCACATGGTGAGTCTCTCAAGGGGGTTAGGGAAATATGAAGGTGGGAGAGAACTTGTGAACATCCTAAAAGTACATTTGAACAAGAAGTTTGAGGAAATCAGTGAGGGTCAGCTCCCTGGGGCTGTGCAGAATTCATGGGAATATATGAAGCAGACACTACTTCCTGAGAAATCCCACATCCAATTAAAACAGAGTAGTTTGCCACCATCAGTGGATGAAGACTACAAAGAGAATACCTTCCAGGAACTTTCCTTCATTGATTCCAGTGTAAAACAGGCACCGGAAGCTCATATTAAAAAGTTTCATATGAGGATGGTGTGGGGACTCCCTACAAGGTCCTTGATTCCATTAAGAGATTTTTAAATTGAAAAATGTCTCATCCTATTCCTTGTCCTATTCCAACTGTCCTTCCTTGGCCAACTTGGTGTCTGGGGCAAACTCCAAATCTGAGAGGCTCCAAAGCAAGCCCCTTGGAGGAAGCTCTAAATCTCCTGATGGAGACGAGTGGGGACAGGAACTTCAGCCCCTGTACTGCAGCAGCCTCTCCCTGCTACCTCACTTGTGGCTAATGAAGGACAAGGGAAACTGAGACAGTCACTCCCTGATATTAACCATGAGATTGCCAAGGATATTCAGGGAATTAAGGAGGCCAGACAGACTCTTGGGCCTGTCATACACAGCATCAAAGGCCAAGCTACTCAGAGTCAGACTCTACCAGCCAACAGGAGCCTCTCAGAGCTGCCCCCAAAGCAAGCTGGGCCTCTATATGAGCGAGAGTATAAGACTGTGAGGGGTAATAATAAAGTAGAGATGCAACAGGGCAAGAAGACAAAGAAGATTTTAAAACCTGTGTCTGAGCTCAGCATGTCCAGGAATATATTTAGGGTTGCAGAGGTGGATACTCTTCAAGGACAAATTAGTGACATCTTGACTACCAGCAAGCCAGAAAGCTCCCAAATGAAAAATGTAATGGTTCGTGACAACTGAACACCCCCACCAAATATTTCAGGTCCCCAAGATCTTAAATCAACAGACCTGAGATGACAACTCAACAGTTGTGTTAATGGTAAAACTGGACAGTGAGAACATGCCCAGGCCAAAGGTCAACCCACTGACATGTCGCTTGCCTCAGATAGTTTGACATCTAAGGCCTCACTGACTCATGCTCAGGTTATTTCCAGTGGGGACATGGGATTTTTCCAGGTGCTACATGTCCATGTGGAGGGCAGAGGAAATAGCATGAAGCATCAGCAAGAGCCTTGTGTCCCTAAGCATATCTTAAGGAAGTGCCAGGGTGAGAATTTCCCTCCAGGTGCAAAGAAAGCAAGTCCTCCAGGCTCTAAAGCTAAAGGGCATGGAGGAGGGAATGCAGGGTTGGGAACATCCCAATCAGGAAAGAAGAGTTCCCCAGCAAAGGTGATACTTGGGAGCAAGTCTTCGCACACACTGTCCCAGAAGGTTCAGCCTGCCAAAAGCCGTTTCAGCCAAAAAATGAAACACTTTTCTAAATGGATTTGTCATGGCAAAGAAAATACCCAGGAAAAGAGCAGCTGCATATCATCAGTGCAGAGCCGAGGTGTAGTTCAAAGTAGAGATGCCTTTAGTGGAATGACTGAAGCTCAGAAAATCATGACACTGGAAAGTTCTTAGAGAACAAAATGGGGCATCAGCAAGCAATAGGTAGCACCCACCCTGAAAAGCCCCATCAGCCCCAAGTGAAATTTGGGAAAACTCAGCAGAAGGCAGAAAGGCAGATCCCACTAGGGGGCAATCTTTCAACCACAAGGCTCCCTCCTGTAAACTGGCAAATAACCAATGTGGCCACTAAGAAGCTATCTCTGCTGACCACAGTTACCCTACAAGTATTTTACAGATCAGAGAGCAAGACATGTACCTAGCTCTTGGTTCAGAAGCATCCCTCATCCATGCCTCACAAGGATCCTGTGCCCCATGCATGCCCCACCAGCAGGCATCAAGCCTGCCACAGGGGCCTCCAGCTGCTCTCACCACTGCTGAAAACACTGCATGCAGAGATCTGTCTCTACAGTTTAGACAGAAGACAATTCTCCAGATTTTCCAGAAATGAGAATTTCCTTCCCCCAAATAATTCTTTCCTTGTGGATAATATTGATTCTCCCCAATAAATGTTTTTCTAATAATAGTGAATTCCACATTCTGTGTTGGCATGGTTTTGGGTTACTCTGGACCTGTACTTAGGGAAAGGAAGGAGTTCAGCCTCAGTGATTGCTTCCTTTGGCTTCTAAAAGGTGACATGACCCCTGTTGCTCTTGTTGAGAAATAGACCCCATGTGTTCCCAATAGCCCATTTCCTCCCTGATGAACTTTGAAGAGATGAGTTATGTCTCCCGTCTCTTAGCTTAGCCTAAATGAAAATACATGGCAGTCCACAGCTTCCCCTCATTGAATGTCTTATATCCCTTAGAGAGCTAGGGAGTGTCCCGACCTGCAGGACTATCAATGCGGGTCTACGACCTGGAGGAGAGAATTGAAGAAAAAAAAAAAGAATGGGGCAAGGGACACAAAGAACGACCAGCAAGACAGGATGTCTGATCAAGCTGGCACAGTTTATTGTTTGCAGGCTCAATTTATACAGGTTAGCAAGTAAGGGGTGGGTCAGGAGATAATTGGACCTTAGGTCGCGCCAGCGGGAACAGAGGACCCGGAAGAGAAGCGGGGAGTTCTCCATTTTGGGGGTGGGGGCCCTTGGGAGGGAGGTTTTAAGGGAGGGGCTTTCCCCTGGGGCAGAGGGTGTTTCTTGATTAACAAAGGACAGAAAAAGCACATGTTGCGAGGTAGCCTAACCACTAGCTCTAACCTAGGAGTTCACTAAATGTGTTTCTTGGTAATAGGGGAAAACTTGTTTCTAACGCGTGGATGGATTCATTGTTGCTGACTTTACAGGAAAGACTTTACTCAAACGTTGCTGTTGTCTTAAGGCTTTTGTGACCGAGTCTGCCTAAAGGCCCACAGGTTTGCTCCCAACAGGGAGGACAGGTCTTTTATATCTGAAGAGGGTCAGGGACAGGTATATTTTCCAGAAAATAACATTCAAGAAGAAGCAGTGGCTTAATCATCATTTAAAAGTGAGTAACCAGAGGATCCCACAGGTGGGTAAACCCTGAATGGGAGTGTCTGGGGTGGACATTGCTGTGATGGATCCTGGGATAGTTGGGGTAGGGTCTGGAAACTGTATAGATGCTGCTTAAGCATCAGTCACATGGACGTTATTGTGTTGGGGATGCATACTTTCACCTTGACACTGAGGTTTCCCTACTGGAAAGGCACCTTGGAGAAGTGGTGGTTCCCCTTTCCTGGGTATTTCTTCAGGTTGCCTGATTGATGACATTCTTTTGCAGAGCAAAAGCATGGGCCAGCTGTCAGTGGTAGGAATGTTGACCAGGCAGCCACTTACCTCTGAGGGTAAAATAAAGCTGAGAGAAACGAAAGAGGCCCATTCATGAGTTGGAAATCAACAAAAGATGTTGAGGGGAAAGAATGACCTTGTGGGTGGAAAAAGATATACATCTTATCATCCCTATATTGTGATCCTGACCTGCTCCCCACCTCCTCCAATCAATCCAGGCTCCACCTCCTTGAGGCTGATCAGACCACTGCACAGCATACTGATGCTTTTTACCAAAAGGGTGCTGGGCTGGGCTGAGTACAAAACAGTATGTAGAGGGATGTCATCCTCTGTGGGATTAATGGGATTACTATAGACATCAAGTAACATAGAAATCTAATGTACAAATACACATGGCTTGATTGTTTTTCCCACATATTCTATTGTGTGATCAAGGACAAAGTGATGAGAACCAAAGCAGTTCTCATGGCTTGGAGCCGCCTTCACATTATTTAAATAAACCTGAGAAGCTTCACATCCTTAGGCTTGACGCAAGGCCAGATAATGATGTTTAAGTTCATTGTAAGTTCATTTGTTCAATAAATATGAGAAATGCCTTCTTAGCATTACTCTTGAGCTGGTACGCCCCCAGTCCCCTGGCTGGCCCTTTCAGATCTTCAGTATCTCATTGTGTCTCCTCCCTTATCTGTGGGACAGAGGCAGGGAGGGGACCGGCAAGTGGCATCCGAACAGGGACCCTTGAAACACAGAGCGGGGAAGCTCCAAAGATCATCGATCCGGTAAGGCTCCCGGGAAAGCATACAAAGGGACAGGATCGAGACGTCAGGGACACTATAATGGGCCAAACTGAAACTAAAGCAGCTAAACTGGAGGATTATTTAAAATTGCTCCATGCCCTCCTAAAAACATTAGGAGTGAAAACTTCTAAGAAGGATTTTGCCCAATTGTATAAATACATTAAAAAATATTGTTATTGGTTGCCACCACAGGGAACCCTCAAACAGACTGATTGGGCTAATATTATGAGAGATTTTAAGAAAGCTCATAGACAGGGCGATGCTATTCCTGTACCTGCCTGGTCTTTATGTAATTTCATCACTCTTGCTTTGCAACCTTTACAAACTCCCCCTTTTGGGGGCCTCGTCCGGGATAACCTCAGAGGTGAGGATCAGCATCTAAGCCTGCCTTTCTTTCACTTTACTTATAGAAGGAAGCCGTCTATGGCACACAACATCAGGCCATAGCCCGGCTGCCGATCTCAAAGTCTCGAGCGACAGGCTCCCCTGCATCTCCCTCAGTGGATCCCCTGTCTCCCTTGGGAGTCAGGAAAGTCTCCTGAGTGGAGGCCAGGATTCCCTTTCAGAGGCATCTCCTCAGATGTGAAGGACTGAGGAAAGCCGTGGGCAACTGCGAGAGTCTAAGCTGAGGCTACACTTCAGCGGCTTCTCAAAGGCCCATGTGTCTAGAATCAGACCCCTACAGCCTGACTGAGTATCTGTGACTTGGAGTATCTCTCTCTCTGTCTCCGACTTCCAGCCTGCTTCTTCAGGCCACCCTGGCCTCTGAGTGAGGCAGGTGGCATCCCTAACTCTCTTCTAACTTTCACGGAACTGGATGCTCACCACTGCAAGGTAGGAGACCTATGCTTCACTCTTATTCCTGACTTAATACTGCACTTCTTTATCTCATCACAATGTGTCTGGGCACCCGTTAGCCACTTAAAAGATGATTAGTGTGAGCTACCAGTCTTAAGTCTCAGGTGAAAGGTTTCCTGGTGTCTGCCGCTCCTTGATTTCCCACCTCCAGATGTACAGGAATGTCAGGGAGTGGCTGAGCCGATTTCCTACTTTCCTATTCTCATCTGTGGACTCCGAGGGCAAACTGGACCAGTAGACCATTGTCCTTGGATCTCTGCTCTGGCTGATAGATCCGATGGTGCTGAGTGAACCTCCAGCTAGGCTGCTGCCTATGCAAAAGATGCAGATGACCCCGGGCCTCTTATCTCACAGATCAGATTTCTTACAGTAGGTGACTAGCAGGATAATTCCCAAGCACTGAGAGAAACTGGTGTTTAAGGGTATAAACCCCACCATAAATGTCCATGGCAGCCTCTGAATTTTATCTCTGGCCTTAGCAAAAGTTCCTCTGCTCCGTTTCAAAGCAGTCCTCTTAGGCTTGCTCCACTTTCTCCTGTGTAATGTAAATGGTGCCTGTAAAGTAATCAAGTTGAACCCTCAGACCAAAATGTAAGTGGCTCTATTCTATTAACTCCTTTCCTTAGAGGCAGTCGTCCTGGAGCTAGGCCTTTCCTTGTCTGCAGCCCCAGGGAAGCAAAAACAATCTTGTGACTCGGATCAAGGCTCTAGCAGCGAGAGGTCACACAGTCCCTGCACTTATCAGACAGGCAGGGGGCTCTCAAGGAATGACTAAAGCTCGGGCAGAAAAAACTAGGAAAGCTAACTGGGAGTAATTCAATCCCTAAACTCTAAAAACAAAGTGTCTTATCTTCTGCACACAAACCTGGCCTCAGTACAAACTTTCTGATTAGAGAGACTTGGCCCCTGAAAGAAGTATGCAATATAATGTTATGCAGCTTAATGTATTTTGCCACAAGGAAAGAAAATAGTCAAAAGTCCCGTGAACTACTACAATATGGAATTGGTTTTCTAAATTCTTTTAGTGAAAATCTATTCTACTTAGTGGGTTCATCATTATCTTTGAAAACTGGGAAGTCTTAAACTAGACTTCCTGAGATAGAAGAAATTTTTCTTCTGCAATACAGCCTGGCTTTAAATGACTCGTGCTAGAATTTTACTTGCATTTCATTTCCAGCCCCCGGGACGCACACAGTCCCTATCAGTTCAGAGCCTTCATCGGCCCGTTTAGTCTGGGGCCATCTAAACCTTAACCCAGTTATGTAAACTGCTCGCCCTTACAGTGTATTCTTGAAAACTGAAGTACTTTTAATCAAGTAAGCTAAAAAGAAAGAAGGCAATTGAATATTATTAACTCAAATCTTTATATCAGTTTGTCTGTCTGTGTATATGTTTTTATATGAAAAGTGTTGCTAACTGTAGTCATTATGTCTCAATCTTTATGTTTGTGTGTCTGTGTAAATGAAAAATATTTTCCTACCTCCAGATGGTATTAATAAAAACAGATTTAAAGGCAAGTGCTTGTGAAAATTGGGCATTCTAAAACTTCCAGAAAATATAATAAAAAATATTAAGCATTAATGCTAATTTAAGTTTAACTGAAACAGACATGCCCTTATAGCTATCAGCTGCCAAAGTTTACTTAAAGTCGTTTAAGTTGATGTTACCTGTTAAATATTTCAAGAAGATACTTAAAGAAAAGCTTGACTTTTTGTCTAATGTTTGGTAAAAGTTTTATAAGTAATCTAGCATAGTTGCTAAAAATAAGTAAACAAGTGTACCAAATGAACATCTTAATAATAATACTGTATTAATGTATAACAGTGTATATATCTGTAAACAGCCTGAGAATTTTTGTGGTAACCAAAATTCTTAAAGTTTGCTAAGTTATATAGACATATTTTGTGCTTAATGAGAAATTGTGCTGTAAGGCACATTTCCAAAAATGATAAAATATGTTCATAGATGTATCGATGTGAAGAATGCTGGTGTAACAGTTTACAGTGGCCTATTTTTCAGTGTTCACTGAAGGTTAAACTACCAAATGGTTTTAAGTTCTAATTAAAACTACTTAATATAATAAGGATAATGTTTCTGTATGCTAAAGAATGTATGTTTTAATAAGAGAAGATGTAAGGAATAGAAATGCATTGTATTGAAAGTAAAAGAAGGTAACTATTTTAAAGTACAGCTGTTTATTTAAAAAAAGAAAACACTGAATGTAAAAGGAAAGATTGTAAAGTTTTCTAATTGTTTATTAAAAGTTTCTTATGCTTAAAGTTTCAATGAAGTGTCTGAGTATTAAGAAAATGAGAGCTTAATATTAAAAAGACTGTAAGCTAAGTATTGTTGACAACTATGTAACCTGTATTTGCTTTTAAAACTTCTTATTATCATTCTGGTTAAATAATAAGTGTTATTTAATAACTATAATTCTATTTAGGCAAGTTCTTTAAAAACTTCTGACAACTTCCCAGGACCAAATTTTTAAAAGTACTTTTATCTCTAGTTAACTCTGATATTTTCCAGAGGGCCCCTGGAACATGTCAGAGGAATTTCTTCTCATCAAGGAAAATATTTGACTAATTTGGCTTATTTATCTGATATATATTTACCTGGAAAGCACTGTCAAAAGGAATAATGCTAAACTTTATTACTGAATGTTTTATGTTACAGAAATATCCAAATTTCCATATATCCACTGTCTTACAGTAAGCTCTCATCAAATCTTTAACCATTGTCTTTTGTAAATCTTTTGTCATTTATAATCACTGTTTAATTACCCCTAAACTAGCAAAGAACTAGATTTCAGCAAAACAGCTATTGGTTACACAAAATTAAGTAAAATAAAGAAAATGATTTTTGTGGCTTTTTGTTTCAAATGTTGCTGATAAAATGTTTTAAGCTTTTCTCTTAAGCTGACTGAATGCTCCAGTTTACCTCTCCTCTGCACTAAAAAAATTTTTTCAGCTATATAACATCACTCATAAAACAGGCATTCCTTACAATTTCACAGGTCAAGCTCTGATTGAACGTCGTCATCTTACTCTTAAGCATTATTTATCAAAACAAAAAAAGGGGATTACTTCCTGACATGATAAAATTAACAGCAAATCAACAATTGACGCATGCTTTACATGTTCTTAAACTTTGATCTTTTAAAAGGTAACAGATGATCAGCTATGGAAGTGCATTTTTCTTTTAACATTTCCTTTTCTGAAACAACAGCAGTTCCTGTATAGTGGTCTCCAATAGGTTCTTCACAATGGTATAAAGGTCATATCAAAGTGTGGGGCAAAGAGTTTGTTTGTGTTGTTACAGAGGATCTACGCTTGATTTAGCTACCCAGAAAATGAATTAAGAAGAACTTCCAGCATCAACATCCTCTGGAAGAATCATTCCAGAAGATGACCATCAAAAAACCTCAACAAAAGTCTGTATGTCAGACACAGAAAGCTAAAGCCCACCAAATGATAGTATCTTTGTTTTTGTTTCCGATAATAGCGCTTATGTATGTGCATACTACACAAGCTTGCATTATAACAGCAAGCCTAAGTAAACCCCCTTATTTAAGCCATGGTGTAGTTCTGCATTGCTTATCTACTTGCTCCACTCCTGTGGGCCCTATAGTGTGGAAAAAGAATGGTGAATAAATATATAGACAAAAGGATGGAGGAAAACTTGGATGGAATAATATTACTGACCAATCTGTTAGAGATAATAACCATTATATTTATAAAGCAGTTTTGTCTTGAGAAGATATTGGCAATTATACCTGTGAAAAGTTTCAAAAGTGAACTCCTGACATGTTGTACAAGAGTAGTTATGTGTATTTAAATACATCACTCATTCCAGAAAATAGTTTTTCCTCACCTAACTTGTGGTTACAACTCGCGAGGCAAGGGTTGCTCAAGTCATCTTTTTGTGCAGCAAGAGATTCCTCTATCAGTGGACTGTTGAAGAAGAATTTAATAGGCATAGGACTTCCTCTCATGGTGTTCACTAATATATCAGGCATAAATATCACTCTTCCCCTTAAGGCTCTTACTCCTGATGCCCAATTAAATTTACCTGTTAGTACTACTATAATTACTGACTGTGTATGTATTAATTGTACTCATGTACCCTCTTACTGTAATTCTACAATCAATGTAAAATGGTCTTCTAGATATAGACTCCCAAACGGGTGGGTATTTTTGTGTGATAACAAAATGTATCAAGCCCTTTCTTCACACTATCGAGGTGTTTGGGGTGTGGGACGCATTCTTCCTGCTCTAATAGACAATCCTGGATATAAGCATATAAGACTCCTCCGAGCTCTGCCATCTGATTGCATCAACAACTTGAAACTTTTAGATCCTGCCGCTGTTGCAGTTGCAGCTGCATTCATCCTGCCGGTTCCTGGACTTGTCGCTGGAATGCAGAAAGAGATATCTAATCTGGCCTGTGCATATAGCAAAACAACAAATTTGACTGCTTCTTTATTATCTGAGCTCAACCTAGAACTGGGAGAAGTGCAAGTTGCAGTACTTCAAAACTGTGCTTCTATAGATTATCTGCTGTTAAAAGAACATGTAGGATGTGAACAATTTCCAGAAATGTGTTGTGTTAATTTGTCTGATTTTTCTCAAACTATTCAAAATCAATTAGATAATATCCATCATATTGTCAATAAGTTTTCACAAATGCCTGAACTACCTGACTGGTTTTCTTAGTTTCATTAGATATGGCCAATAATTGTAGGTCTGCTTTTGTTATGTATCTGTATTCCTGTTCTGCTAATGTGTATATGTAATATAATTAGTAGTTTGTTAAAACCTATACATGCTTACATTGCTCTACAGGAAATTATGTCAAAGAAATAATCAACCTTCTCATATTCTCTTCCATCTGCTACTTCTATTGCTTTTTTTCTTCCTTCCTAAATACAGCTCTTTACTAGAGTTCATGCGTCATACTTAAAATTACTGTGCATCATAATCCTTTCAACTGACAAAGATATCTCAAGACAAGTGCTGGACATAGAGGCCATGGGGCATAAATCTGTAAAGTGGAAAACTAACCTTTTCAAAGAATATTACTTCTCTCTCACTTACCAACTTTACATCTCCCTGTATGGCCCTGGAAGATGGCTGGTTAGCCAGAGACAGGTAAGATTCCTCAAGGGAGGAACAACCTAAGACAGGCACAGGGGGGCCATCAGGTGAGAGATTGGGAGCCAACAGAGGTGAGGCTTAGAACCTCACCCCCACCCCCAGTTTTGAGAGAAATCTTCTGCACCCATGGATGTTTTGTTGCCTTTGCCCAGCTCAGATCAAAACGTAGTCTATAGGTATAGACCTGCTCACCTGCACCTACCTTCTAATTGCACTACTAAATACTAGAAAATTTATTTTCTATCTTTACTCTCCTTTACATAAGTTCAAAACATAGACTTTTATTTTATACTGCAGAATGTGGAGAACTAAGCTATGTTAAAAAGCCTTCTGTTAGGAACTGTCTACTTATTATATTACTATATGTACTACTTAAAAGAAAAGGGGGAAATGGGGGATTTATGGGATTACTATATAAATCAAGTAACATAGAAATCAAATGTACAAATACACATGGCTTGATTGTTTTTCCCACATATTCTGTTGATGTGTGAGCAAGGACAAAGTGATGAGAACCAAAGCAGTTCTCATGGCTTGGAGCTGCCTTCACATGGTTTCAATATCCCTGATAAGCGTCGTGTCCTTGGGCTAGACTCAAGGCCAGATAATGATGTTTTGTTGGTAGCCGCACCCAAAAATGGCGCCCAGCTTGAGAAAAAGTTGTAGGTAAAACAAAGACTACTTCTGGACAATCCCGCCACTTCCTGGCCGCATACCACATGCTAATTAGACCTTCCCCTGCTAACCAATTGGTGTATCATAGCAGCTATGCTAATAAAGCATCACAAGCAGCGCGCAATCAGCTTAGAGCATGAGAACTATATAGCTAGCCCAGTCTTCCCCTTTGGGTCCTTCCCTTGATGATTGTATCACAAAAGAGCTGAAGATTAAAGCTTTCTGCAGAAGAATCCTGCTGTTGTTGCGTGCTGTTCTTGCCGGCGAGGACGGGGCGCGCGACAGGTGGTGCCGAAACCCGGGAATCAGAACATCACCGGCACAGGGAGGACCCTTCAGACATCTGGAGAGGATTCAGAACTGCAGGACGGAAGAAAGCCCGGAGAGGTAAGTTCCGAGAGACGCGCTTTTAAGGGTGGCGGCTGATGGTTCTCTGTAGATAAAGAGACACCATGGGGAATGCACCATCATTAGTTTCAGCCTTACAGGCAGTTCTCAAGGAAAGGAATTTGAAAGTTTCCACCAAAGTTTTAGGCTCCTTTGTAAAAGAAGTAGACCGAGTTGCCCCTTGGTTTATCTGTTCAGGGTCCCTCTCCATCCCGAGCTGGGACAAGTTAGGGAAAGATCTCGATCGAGAAGAAGAAGAGGGACAATTGAGAGGAGGCACTAGACCGCTATGGAAACTGATTAGAGCTTGCCTACAAGATGAGAAATGTGAAAAGGTGATAAAAGCAGGTCAGAGAGCTTTGTCCGACATCCAAGAAAGTATGTCAGAAACGGAACGGGAGACAGAGCTGGCTCGCGGCCGAAAGAGGACCGCTAAAACAAAAGTTAAAAATCCCCAGAGTGAGGGAGGGAGCCCGTCTAGGGCAAAAGCGAAAGAGCCCCGAGAAGCAGGTGACGACCGCCTCGGAGAAAATAGCAAATACCCCTGGAAAGAGTTGAGGGAACTCCAACTTTCCAATAGGGAGTCAGAAGATGAATTAATGTCCCCGGAAGAGGAGAAAGAGACCAGAGTCTCTAGAACTGCTAAGTGCAAAAGTACAGATGTCAGCAAAACGGAGACGCAAACTAAAGGGAAAATGAAAGTGAGACGCTCCTCATCGCCCTTAGCCCCGCCGCCCTATGCGAACGGCGCACATTCCTTCTGTGCTCCAGAGGATTTAAGGGCAATTAGACGGATGTTCCCCGTAATCGAAGACAATGGAGCACGTGCCCATCAACCCCTTACCCATAAAGAGGTTAAAGACCTCGCAGAGGCTGTTCGGACCTATGGAGTCAGTGCTAATTACACCCTAGCGCAGATTGAAAGGCTGGCGGAATCAGCTATGACACCCTCAGACTGGCAATATGTAGCAAAAGCTTGTCTTTCTAGCATGGGACAGTATATAGAGTGGAAGGCACTATGGCATGATATAAGCATGACCCAGGCGCGTGATAACGCTGCTGCGGGGGAACCCGCGTGTCATTGGTCCTATGATATGTTGACAGGCCAGGGACAGTGGGTAGCCAACCAGATCGCTTTTCCTGTACCATTGTACACACAGATAAATGCGTGTGCTACTAAGGCATGGAAGGCCCTCACTAATAAAGGACAAGTGTCAGGTAATTTAACAAAAATAATTCAGGGACCAAGCGAGCCATTTTCAGACTTCGTCGCTCGCATGATGGAAGCTGCAGGCCGAGTGTTTGGAGATCAAGAACAGGCCATGCCCCTTGTCCAACAACTAGTGTTTGAACAGTGCACCAGAGAATGCAGACAGGCAATTACCCCCTGGAAGCAGAAAGGATTGTCTGCTTGGTTGAAAGCTTGCAGGGAGGTAGGAGGGCCCCTCACCAATGCAGGCCTAGCTGCCGCTATATTACAGAGTCATAGACAAGCAAAAACCCTTAATAAGAATGTTAAGTGTTTTCAATGTGGACAACTAGGTCATATGAAGAGAGACTGTAGAGGCCCAAATTTCGAACAGACGGCCCAGAAAACCCCTGGAGTGTGCCCGAGATGTAAGAAAGGCAGACATTGGGCTAAGGAATGCCGATCTGTTAAAGACATAGAAGGGAAACCCTTAGAGTCGCCAAAAAACTCCCAGAGGGGCCCCCGCCGCCAGGGCCCGCAAATATATGGGGCAGCCAGCACACCAGTGTCCTTCAGGAGCAGCACAGCCCCCCAAGGAGAGCCACTCCAGGTTCCGCGGGATTGGACATCCGTGCCACCACCAGAATAGTGTTAACCCCACAGATGGGAGTTCAACCCATCCCCTCAGACTTTAAAGGCCCCTTACCACCAGATACAGTAGGGTTGCTTTTGGGGCGCTCTTCTGCTACCTTGAAAGGCCTTGTAGTCCACCCCGGGGTTATTGATCAAGACTATGAAGGACAGGTAAAAATCATGTGTTCAGCCCCCAGGGGAATCTACCCTATATCCCCAGGAGACCGCGTAGCCCAACTCTTAGTGTTGCCTAGTCTCCATGCCAATTATCCAGCTACTACCACGGAGAGAGGAGAAAAGAGCTTTGGTTCCTCTAATTATAACTCAGCCTTTATAGTATTAGATTTGGCAGACAGACCAAAATTGACCCTCAAAATAGAAGAAAAGAGTTTTGAAGGGATCCTAGACACTGGAGCAAATAAAAGTATTATCTCTGCAAACTGGTGGCCCTCCAAATGGCCTGTAACCCAGTCCTCACACTCTTTACAAGGTTTAGGATATGAGTCTAGTCCTACCATTAGTGCCAAACCATTGAGATGGCAGGCGCCTGAAGGGCAAAAAGGTACAGTTACCCCTTATGTGCTCCCACTACCAGTCAATTTGTGGGGGAGAGATGTCATGCGGGGCCTAGGCCTTAAACTTATTAATGAATACTCCACCCCTGCCCAAGGCATGATGATGGATATGGGATATATTCCTGGTAAAGGACTAGGGAAACACCAACAGGGACGCATAGAGCCTATCCTTCCCAAAGTAAAAAATGACCGTCATGGCCTGGGTTTTTCCTAGGGGCCATTGAAGACGCCATGCCCATACCTTGGCTTACAGAGGAGGCCGTATGGGTTCCTCAGTGGCCCCTATCCTCTGAGAAATTAGAAGCAGCTCACCATTTAGTACAAGAACAGCTCCAATTAGGACATTTAGAACCCTCTGTGTCTCCATGGAATACGCCCATATTTATAATCAGAAAAAGGTCAGGATCATGGAGATTGCTTCATGACTTGAGAGCAGTAAATGCTCAAATGAGGCTGTTTGGACCTGTCCAGCGAGGACTGCCACTTCTCTCTGCTCTACCCAAAGAATGGAAAGTAATCATAATAGACATCAAAGATTGTTTCTTTTCCATACGCCTAAACACCAAAGATAAAGAAAGGTTTGCATTCACCCTGCCAGCTATTAACCATGAGCAACCAGACGCCAGATTTCAGTGGAAAGTCCTCCCTCAAGGGATGGCAAATAGCCCCACCATATGTCAACTGTATGTTCAGCAAGCGCTAGCACCAATTCGCGAAAACTACCCCAAATTGAAAATTATTCACTATATGGATGATATCCTTCTCTGCTCCCCACAATCAGCAGAAGTAGAAGAGGCCTATGTGAAGCTCACTAAATCCCTAGAGACTTGGGGACTGAATATAGCCAGTGAGAAAGTTCAAAAATCTAGTGTTAGCAAATTCCTAGGAGCCACCATTTATACAGATGTAATTTGCCCCCAAAAGCTTAAGATAAGACATGATCAGCTGCGAACTTTGAATGATTTCCAGAAACTCCTAGGAGACATTAATTGGTTGCGGCCATTTTTAAGGGTACCTACCACTGACTTGAAACCACTGTTTAAAATCCTAGAAGGAGACTCACAACTAACATCTCCACGCTCCCTTACACCTGAGGCAGTGCAAGCTATCCATAAGGTAGAACAGGCCTTAATGACAGCACAATTGAATAGGATACAATTAAATGAACCCTTTGAATTATGCATCCTTCCTACTCCGGGACTGCCAACTGCAGTTTTGTGGCAACGAGGGCCACTGCTCTGGATCCATCCCCAAGCCTCTCAGGCTAGAACGATAGAATACTACCCAGCTGCCATAGCCAATCTCGCTCTAAGGGGAGTAAAAAACTCATTTACATATTTTGGGAAAGCTCCAGCAACAATCATAACCCCTTACAATATGGAGCAGATACAAATATTATGTGCTATGAATGATGATTGGGCCATACTTGCTTATAGCTTCTCAGGAACCTTTGATAATCATTTCCCAAAACATCCCCTCATCAATTTTGCTAGAAATCATCCCCTGGTGTTCCCTCGAGTCACTAGCTTAACCCCGCTACCACATGGAAAGACAGTCTACACAGATGGGTCCAAGACAGGTACAGGCGCCTATGTCCATGATGGCGAAGTTGTAACGAAAAACTATACACCCAATACTCCACAGATAGTAGAATGTCATATAGTTTTGGAAGTACTACAAACCTTTCATGAACCTTTAAATATTGTGTCAGACTCTAGTTATGTTGTTAATGCAGTTAATTCCCTAGAAGTAGCAGGACTGATCAAAGCATCTAGTTCAGTAGCTACCCTGTTCAAACAAATACAATCACAATTACTCCTTAGACGTTCTCCTTTATATATGACTCACATTAGAGCACATTCAGGCCTTCCCGGGCCTATGACCCAAGGCAACCACTTAGCAGACATTGCAACTAGAAGTATAGCTTTCCCTCTGCTAGATCCTGTCGCCACAGCTTCAAAATTCCACTCACAATTTCATGTCACTGCCGATACGCTGCGCAAGCGGTTTAGCATAACCAGAGCCGAAGCTAGGAACATTGTTCTTAGCTGCCAACACTGCTGCAGTTTTCTTCCCACACCTCATGTTGGGATCAATCCTAGAGGTATTAAGCCTTTACAGGTTTGGCAAATGGACGTAACACATATTTCTTCCTTTGGGAAGCTGAAATATGTACATGTATCTGTAGATACTTGTTCGGGAGTCATATTTGCCTCCCCATTGTCTGGAGAGAAAGCTTCCCATGTCATTCACCACTGTCTTGAGGCTTGGAGCGCATGGGGGTTACCCCAAATCCTCAAAACAGACAATGGTCCCGCCTATACTTCTGCCAAATTTGCTCAATTTTGTCATCACATGGGAATTAAACATATCACCGGTCTTCCTTACAATCCACAAAGTCAAGGAATTGTGGAGCGCGCGAACCGCACTCTCAAATCCTATCTAATTAAACAAAAAGGGGGAGTTGAGGACATACCCCCCACACCCAAAACAGCTATAGCCCTAGCACTCTTCACTCTCAATTTTTTGAACCTGGATACTCAAGGCCGTACAGCGGCAGACCGCCATAATCAGTGGCCAAAAGACCCACAAGAACTGGTAAAATGGAAGGATGTATTATCTAACCAATGGAAAGGCCCGGATCCAATTATAATAAGATCCAGGGGAGCTGTGTGTGTTTTCCCCCAGGGTGAAGAAAACCCCTTCTGGATCCCGGAACGCCTGACCAGGAAAGTCCTGAACAAAGGAGATGGCGTCTCTGTGCCTGTGGATCCTGATCTTGTCGATGGGAATCCTGACTCAGGGAGTACTGAGATGGGGAATATTGTCAGTCTTCCCTAAGCCCATGCCTGTTCGCTATAATGCAGCAGTTTTTCCACGCTTTTTTACTACTAACTCTAGCATGAACCTGCCTTATTTGCCATTAGATTCCCTAGCAGCTTCTTTAGGAGAAAACCGAACCTTTGAAACCGATGGATCTTTGTGCTTCACCACTCGTAACCACTCAAATTGCCTGTCCCTTAAACAGCATATGTACGGGTGGTTTAGCCGTGATAGGAAATCGGGTGAATTTAGTCAGTCCTTTCGTGAGAATAAGACCTACACTAATGCAGTAGTAAGCCTAAAGGTCCTTTGGATTAATGGTACATTTATGAAACCTCCTATTAAGCAGATTAACTATAGCAACATATTCTTCCCTTACCGTCCCCGTCAACCCAAATATGCTCCCCATTGTGTGGGAGATTATGAGGGAGAACAATGGCCCTGGACTGATTGCCAGTCACATGCTACAACCTGGGCAGATAAGGGACACAAATTTTCCTTGTCCCCAGATATGGAGGAAATTTCCGGCAGTGTTTATAGAAGGGTGGCAGAAGGAGGAGAGTTCCAACAAGATGTAGGCAGGAACCCCTTCGATAAATGGCTGCTGTGTGGAGTTAATGGTTCATGTTCAGACCTTTCTCCCTTTATTGTCCTACAAGGGGGAGGGATCGGGATGTCTGATAGTTCCTGTACCTACGAAACTACAAGCCCAGCCTTAAATGGCAAGACTGTATACCAGGTGAATAAGACTACTTATAATATTTCATGTCAAAGAGTTGCACCAGCCCCTGGCCAATATCCACCTACTCCGGTATGCGTGTATCCCCCATTTCTATTTATCTTATCCAATAACAGTTTTGACTCTTGCTCCAATGACACTTGTTTCTTGTCTCAGTGCTGGAATATAACTGTCCATTCCAATGCTTTAGTGGCCCGCATTCCTCGCTGGGTCCCTGTCCCAGTAGATTCACCTGATTCCATGACCTTGTTTCGTGAGAAACGTGACTTTGGTGTCACTGCTGCCATAGTGGCCTTAATATCTCTGGCTGCAGTGGCTGCCACTGCAGCTGCCATAGCCTTGGACACCTCTGTTAAAGCGGCTGCAGAATTGAATAATCTTGCGGATTCAGTAGCCACTGCTCTGGACCGCCAATCCTCACTTGATGGAAAGATGAAAGGAGGAATTATGGTCCTCAATCAGCGAGTAGATCTAGTGGAAGAGCAACTAGATGTGCTCTGGCAGTTAGCCCAATTGGGATGTGAGCGAAAGTTTCGCGCTCTCTGCATTACTAGCATACAATATGAAAACTTTACGCGAGCAGCTAATCTGTCACGAAGCCTGTCCCAATATCTTTCAGGGAACTGGTCCCAAGACTTTGATGGAACGTTAGAAGAGCTACGGCAAGAAATAACCCACATCAACTCCACCCGGCTAGATATCTCCGTAGCAAAAGGACTCTCTTCCTGGTTCCACAGAGCTCTCTCCCACGTTAAAGAGTGGGCGGGCATGGCTGGGATGGGTGTATTCATGCTTGGAGGTCTCATGCTCCTACTCTGGTTGTTATGCAGGCTTCGTGCCCAACACAGGCAAGATAAAGTGATCCTTGCTCAAGCCTTGATGGCGGTAGATATTGGCGCCTCTCCCCAAGTATGGCTCAATATGCTCAACAAAGAAGCTCAGCTTTAGCTTGAGGTAGCCCTTGCACCCTGAGCCTTTGTGGCATTGCACCAGGCTAAGGTACCTGTTCGCTTACCCGAAGCTTCTCATACGAAACTCGGTACAAGAGGGTCACTGCACAGGCCCAAGCCCGTTGTACCGGGCGGTCCCACCGTCAGCTAGAGGGTGCGAGGCACTGCACTGCAAGAGGTCATGGGCCCCTCTGTGAGACATGCCTGATTGCATGGGGGTGGATGTCTACAAACCCCTCTCCGAAAATAGGACATCAAATGTTTCTGGAGATCAGGCCTCTATCTCCACCTCAGCTGACAAGTTCCGCCCTGAGTTTCAACAAAACAAAAAAGGGGGAGCTGTTGGTAGCCGTACCTGCCGCACCCAAAAATGGCGCCCAGCTTGAGAAAAAGTTGTAGGTAAAACAAAGACTACTTCTGGACAATCCCGCCACTTCCTGGCCGCATACCACATGCTAATTAGACCTTCCCCTGCTAACCAATTGGTGTATCATAGCAGCTATGCTAATAAAGCATCACAAGCAGCGCGCAATCAGCTTAGAGCATGAGAACTATATAGCTAGCCCAGTCTTCCCCTTTTGGGTCCTTCCCTTGATGATTGTATCACAAAAGAGCTGAAGATTAAAGCTTTCTGCAGAAGAATCCTGCTGTTGTTGCGTGCTGTTCTTGCCGGCGAGGACGGGGCGCGCGACAATGTTTAAGTTCATTGTAAGTTCATTTGTTCAATAAATACAAGAAGTGCCTTCTTGGCATTACTCTTGAACTGGTAAGCCTTTAGTCTCCTGGTTGGCCCTTTCAGATCTTCGATGACTTGTCTCCTCCCTTATCTGCAGGACAGAGGCAGGGAGGGGACCCGCAATCCTCTTCCTTTGGGGATGTGATCTTGATGCCTTCATTCTTCCATGCTTGATGGCAAAGTACAGGATCTTTCCCTTAGTGTGTATGGTTCATTTATCAGGATGGACGTGCCACCCTTCATATTCATGGCCTTGGTGGATCCTGGCTGATCTCCCCCAGAACACCTGTTGCTCATGAACCAGAGGTTTATTCTAGACTATGCATCAGGGTTGCAGATATCTGGAGGCTCATGATGGACTTGCATGGAATGCTTTTTTTGGCCAAGACTGCCCACGTATACATAGTTACATTAGGGGTCTGGAGGTAAAGAAAGGTAACTCCACTTGTCTAGAATGGGACCCAGCAGTGGGGTGTGTGTCCTATAAAGCATTTGAGGTAGTCTTTCAAAAACGGTTTATGAATGCTGGCTATTAAAAATTCAGATGTCAACCACAGCCCTCTCTCACTCCCACACTTGGGTCTTTTCTCCAGAGGTCCATCATAGACCCTACCATGTTTCAGGCTTAGGATCACAGAAAGAATGAAGGTTCTGTGAAAGCCCAGGGAGGGACCAAGATGGGATGGGGGCAGGGAACACGAAGAGATGATCAGGCAGTGGAGGGCTCCAACATGCATGGGGATAGACCAGCCAATAACTCAGCCTCACAGTTATCACACCATCTCATCTTAGGGTCCGTTACTTCCATCCCAGTGCAGTTCCTGCCACACTGCAGAGCTTATTGCAAGAACAATTCTGCCATCTGGAACAATACAGCCTGATATTCCACTCTTTGGCATTACACCCTTTTTCCTTCCAGCTTGTATGCCCCTTGTTAATTTTTCAACTCCAGGTCATTCATTTCTCCACTTAATTCCGTGTGTTTACCACCAAATTCTTGTCTTCTCATCCTTCCTCTCCTCCAAAGCAGACTTGATGTCTATCAGGTAACCAACGTATGAAAAAGCTCCACCACTATAGTCCCTTTTAATTTTAATCCATCCTTTCTAGTAAATTCTGACTCTGCCTTTTCCAGAAATCCTTCCTGTAATAACTGATCACTACTGGAATAAATCTTACAAGTCTACTGATGGCATGATAAATTGGGACCCATTACTACCTGAAAATCATTCATTCCACAATTATCCCAATTACTAACATGTGCCCAAAATAAATGGCACTTAGGTTACTGTTTCCTTAGTCCATGCTCTCTCAGATTCTATGCAAATCTATTTCAAATCATCTTCACCTTCTCAAAATTATAGACCACCTCTCCTTGTTTAGCAGATGGGCTCCATCTCCGTTCACAGAGGAGCTAGAAGCTATGAGATGGGGACTTTTCATCAAAAAACCCTGAAAATAACACTTTCCCATTCCTTCTTTCTTTCTCTTAATGAAAAGTGGTTTTCTTCTCAACCTCAAAGGAATTACACTTTTTCAGATTTTTTTCCTGAGATAACTAAATGCCCATCTTGTTGGACACACTCACCTGTGCACATGTCAAAGCACTCACATTTCTTTGATAGTCATCATCTGTGTAACACACTTACCCTAACAGATGTGTGCAGCATTGAAACAAAAAAGCATTGAGCTGCAGAGGCTTGGGCAATCCATTATGTTCTGCCTTTCAGTCCACCATGAGGCATTTGAATTCTCCCTCAGGTCCATACAAGAAATAATCTTAAAGAGCAAATTCCATGCACAACATTGCTGTCCCCGAGTCACACACTAAGTATAACATGCAAAAAGTACTGGTGTAGAAAACTGTACAAGATAAATGACATCAATCTATGTGTTTTCAAATGTATAGAAGAAAAAATTTTTCTGTCACATATATGAGTCATTGTGTTTTGAATTAAGCATAGTAGATCAAACACACTTATTTTCTCCCTAAAATGTCATTCAAAGTAAAAGATTAAATGAAAACATGCTCAGCATTATTGGCCATCAGGGAAATGCAAATCAAAACAACTATGAGATAACACTTCACACACACAAGTATGGCTAGCATCAAAAAGTCAGATAATACAAGTGTTGGTGAGAATGTGGAGAAATTGGAATCCTTACATATTGCCAGTGGGAATGAAGGATGGGGCAGCTGTTTTAAAAAACTGTGTGGCAGTTGAAAATGTTAAACATAGAGTTACCATATACTTAGAATGTATTTAATGCATCATGCACTTTTGCCTTGAATATTTCATTGTGTATTTAAGAAAAAGATTCTCTTACCTACAGAATAATTGTCCCCTGGGTCTCTAAGCATGTCTTGCTGAAGGGCCAGGATAAGAATTTCCCAGCAAGTGGGAAGAAAGTGAGACCTCTGAGATCAAAGCAGATGTGGAAATAAGAACTCAGAAGTAGAGAGCTAAAGCCCTCAGGAAGAGGCAACTGCCCAGAACAGACAATTAGAGGGCCCTCCCCCATCTCTGTCACAGAATGAAGTTTCCTCCTGAAAGTTACTTAAGAAAAAGGATGAGGCAATTTTTTCGGTGGATTTGTTCTAAGTGAAAAAATCACAGGACCGGGAAAAAGTTCTCAGCCAAACACCAAGCTGATGTCATCCTTTGTGCAACACCAAGCCCCAGAGGCACGTCCAGGAGGCGGAACCTGGCAGGCTGGAGTTTGTTTATTTAACGGCAGCAGCACGGGGGTCGTTACAGACACGTCCTGAGGACGGTTTTTGGACGCCCCCGGAGTGACCGTCTCTGCCCGGCCAGACAGAACCTCCCCTCCGTCCGCCGCCTGCACCGTAACGGCTCGGCCTCGCGGCCTCAGCGGTCGACCGCACGCACGCGAGGGGGCGTGGCTGCGTCTGGCCGTTGCCCGCACGTCCCTAAGCGTGCGGGAAGCCGCTCGGCTGAGATGACGCCGCCGGTCAACACAGCAGCGATACTGACTGTAGAGGCTTCGCCCTGCGCTGGATGCTGGCCTTGCGCATCTCATCGGCTATGTGAGTCTCGCATCGCATCTACTGTGTGAGGATACAGTATCTAGCGGGGCTGGCCCTGAGCACCGGAGAGGGCAGGGAAGAGCTTTCGACACTGCTGGGGGCGGGTGTCAGGGAACCGGCCCCGGGGCCGCCCGTCAGCACAGGGTCTCAGCCTCACGGCTCCAGGGCCTCGAAGCGCCTGTGCTGGTCAGGGCAGCAGGAGGCCGAGGTGTCGGTCTGTCCGTTAAGACCGGAATCTCCTCTTCTCTCAGGACACGTAACTAGAGGATGGATGCGCACCGCTGGCTGGGTGTTTTCGGAGGAGGCGTAGGAGTTCTCAACGCCCCTGGGACCCCGCAGTGAGTGAGGTAGGAATGGTTTGGGGGAACGCCGGGCCTGTCAAGGCATCAGTGTCAGTGAGCAGAGAGCGGGGAAGAGAACCGTTGGTCGCCCCTGCAGGATCCAGGGAAGCAGGACCCGAGCAGCCTGTCCGGCAGACAGTCCTGCAGGCTTGTTTATAGGGCAGAAAATCTCGGGTTGCAGGTGTTAATATATTTATGCGTTAATTAGGAATTGTCACCATGATTTATCATAGTAAGAGGTGGAGGAAAATCCTTTTTGTGACTGTTTCCTCTATTAGAAAGAAGTATGTAGTGAATTTGGAACATATGGAAAAGTAGAAGGAAGAACCTTATAGAATCCCACATTCAAAACAATTATTATGAACATTTTGATGCATCTCATTCCAGATTTTACAATGCGCATTTTTTACACAGCTTAAATATTAAGTACTTTAAAGGGAAAACACTATCATAAATATTTTTATATCATAAACTATTAGAAATAACATTTTTTATCAAACTAGATATAGAAGGTAGCTTTATTAATTTGATAGAGTCTCTATAAACATCTTTTTTTTTTTTGAGAGGGCATCTCTCATATTTATTGATCAAATGGTTGTTAACAACAATAAAATTCAGTATAGGGGGGTCAATGCTCAATGTACAATTATTAATCCATTTCAAGTCTAATTCTCGTCAGTCTCCAATCTTCTTAAGCATAACAAACAAGTTCTTACATGGTGAACGAATTCTTACATAGTGAATAAATTCTTACATGGTGAACAGTACAAGGGCAGTCATCACAGAAACTTTCGGTTTTGATCACGCATTATGACCTATAAACAATCAGGTCAAATATGAATATTCGTTTGATTTTTGTACTTGATTTATATGTGGGTCCCACATTTCTCCCTTTATTATTATTATTATTTTTATTTTTAATAAAATGCTGAAGTGGTAGGTAGATGCAAGATAAAGGTAGAAAACATAGTTTAGTGCTGTAAGAGGGCAAATGTAGATGATCAGATGATCAGGTGTGTGCCTATGGACTAAGTATTAATCCAGGCTAGACAAGGGCAGCAAAACATCCACGGATGCAGAAGATAGAAATAACATTTTTTATGTTTACATCCTTTTAAGTGATAGAATATTACATTTTTTTTGTTGACATTTGGGTAGTTCATAATTTTTTGAAATTTTAATAATTTGCTTGCCATGTTTGGTCACAATTGTGTTTGTTTATATACAGCCCTATTCCAAAACTGTGTAAAGCGTTTCCCGAATGTCTGATTAACCTAGGGTTCTGCTCTGGGCCACGTGCTTTTCTTTCTTCAGCTCCCTTAGATGAGTTCTCCACTCACGTGGTTACCTGTTTCAGTGCTAGATTTTCCTTAGAGTTTGAAGCCAGTGAACCAACTGTTTGCTGAACGTACACGTTTCCTAGCTCTGATCAGTGAGAGGGCCTAAAAGCAGCGACATCCTAATAATAATGAGCACTTAGCTTCTAAATATCATTCTCCATTAAAGGAATCAGGGTTACTTGGAGAAATAGCTGGGCTGATCCAGAGAAAAGCATAGGAAAA